ACATTTATACATATCAGCAGATGAATCTCACAAACATAATTTCAAATGAGAAAAACAAACTGTCAAAGAATACACTAGTGCATGTGCTATTTATATAAAGTCTAAAAAAATGCAAAGCAACACTGGGTATTTTTAAGGATGCCATGTGTTGAAAGTATAAAAGACATGATCATGACAAACTTCAAATTTATGGTAAGGTTACTCTGTGGGAAGAGATTTGATTAGTGACGATCCACAGGAGACTCTACCTATGATATTTTATTTCTTCTTTTTTTAGAGAGTCTTTTTTTTTTTTCTATAGGGTGAGTGTGCATGGTAGAGAGACAGAGAGAGACAGAAAGTGAGAAATTACCCCCTGGGCGAGAGCCACACCATGATCCCTTCTCCTCTATTCTCCTCTTGGGATTTTGGGCACATGCATATGCACCTGACGTGAGTTTTAAGCCACTGGGTGGGCCATGTGGTAGTCCAGCAATATAACCATTATGCCATCTGCTGGTCCTAATATTTTATTTCTTAATGTCTTAATATGTCTTCTGCTGCTATAACAGAATACTGTAGACTGGCTAATTTATAATGAACAGAAATTAATTTTGCTCATGATTCTGGTGGCTGAGAAGCCTCAAATTAAGGAGGACCTTCTTGCTGTGTCATAACAGAGTGGGAGGCATCAAATAATAAAGAGAACATGTGTAGGTAGAAAAAGAGGGCGATAACTTCTATGATAAGGGTACTAATTCCTCCATGACCTCGTCATCTCTTAAAGGTCCTATGTATTTAAAATTTTTTTTTAATTTATTTAATTTTATTTATTATTGTTACTGTTTTTAAATTTGCTATAGTGCACATGTACTCACTAGAGAGAGACGCAGTGGGGAGTGACGGATGAGACAGCAAGCCTCCAGGTCTGGGACTTGAACCATGGTTGGCCATGTGGGAGTCCAGCACCTTAACCACTATGCCACCTGCTGGCCCTATACCTTAATACCATCACAATGACAATTAAATTTCAACATGAGTTTTAAAGGGAATATTCAAACCATAGCATTTAAGCAAGATGGTAAGTACCTGATTGTTCATTATAGTAATGCTGGTAAACCCATCTTAAACCAAAAATATTGTGTCTAAACTGCAGCCCCATGGCCTGGTGCTTAAGGGAGCCTGATCCCACAGGGCTGACTGAATGATTCAAATTCTAGTCCCGGTAACTTGAAAAACATGCCAGGTGCATGCACATGCATGCCCCAAATATATTTTTTAATTATTTAATTTTGTTTATTAATTATTATTTTTTAATTTGACCAGAGAGAGAGAGAGGGAGAGAAAGAGATAGAGGAAAAGTGAGAAGGAAAGCCTCCAGATCCAGGACTTGAACTGTGTTTGATCATGTGGGAGTCCAATGTCTTAACCACCACGCCACCTGCTGGCTCCAATGGGGTTACTGTTTCCTCTAAGTGTGTGTTGCTTTCATACCATGGTAAAGTGAAAAATGCGAAGTCAAAGTCAAACCATAGTAAGTGGAGGAGCATCTGTATATTATTCTCTTACCTTTTTGTATTTCTTAAATGTTACATAGTAGTTCATTTTTAGGTCTTTGCCATAAGGCACACGCACTGTATAGGAGAGCGATAGAGAAAGTGAGAAATCACCCCTGGGGGGATGCCCACTCCACAGTCCCTTCTCTATTTTCTCAAGATTTTCAGAGGATCACAGATGCCAGGTGTGATTTTCAAGCTTCTGGGTACAGGACTCAAACCCTGGTTGGCCATGTGGGAATCTAAAGCCTTAACCACAGCACCACCTGCCAGCCCCCATAGGAGTTTAAAAAAAATACGGGAACCAGCAGTTAGCGTAATGGCTATGTCGCTGGATTCCCACGTAGTCGACCGCAGTTTGTGTCCCGGACCCGGTGGCTTAAAACTCACGCCGGGCGCGTTTGTGTGCGTGCCCAAGATCCCGAGAGGAGAATGGAGGAGAAGGGATTGCGGCGTGACCATCCCCCCTGGAGGGTGATTTCTCGCTGTCTCTCTGTCTCTCTCTCTCTGTCTGGCGAGCGCACGCGCCCTACAGTGAAAATCTCTCAAAAAAAAAAAAAATAAATAAAAGTATAGGTCGCTTGTTGCCATGTGGAGATCACAAATATCAGTAGCCAATAAAAACACCAGCTGCTCTAACGTGATCTAAATGGTTGTGGCTTGAGATACCATTCCCAGTGACAGCATCTGACATGTATTTAAAAGGTACTATTTCTCAAAAACCTTTCAATTTCCTTCCAGAAACCTCTTCTGTCTTCCCTTCAACCCACCCCAAGCCCTCTCAAAGACCTCACCGTTGGCCCAATTGCTCTGTGTGAAACACTCGGCGTCTTCCTCGCCTTCTCTCTTTCCTGTGCATCCCCACCCATCAGCAAGCCCCATCTTCACCACTTACACAGCACATCTGGAGCTTGTCCCGTTCTTTCCAACACTGCCCCATCCTCTGACTCCATACCATCTAACCTCGCCTTTGGCCTGGATGACTGCTACAAATTACTATCATCTGTGCCTCCCTAACTAGCCTCCCAGTTGGTTTTCTTGCCAGCTTCCCCACAGACTCTTTCAAAACTCCTGAGCAGCCAAGCTTTCTTCAACATGTAAATCACTTCAGCCCGTTCCTTCACTCAAAAGCCTGAGATTAAAATTCAAAGTCTTGAAGTGAAGGTACTTAATGAGACTAGGACAGTGTGGAATGGGGTAAGTGAAGAGAAGAGGATAGAGAAAGATAGCAAGTGAACAATAGAGAGACAGGACGTTAGTGAGAAACAGATAGGGCTTATTTACTGTTGATGATGACATGTATAGAATTCTCTACAGGATTGGTCTGAGAAGTGTTTCATGACAAGCAAAGTATTTTTAAAAAGCAAAACGAGAAACAGCAATTGACTGTTTTATAAAAATAATTAGAATAATAAAGATAATGATTGGGGAAAACAGAAAAGATATGGAATGTTGAAGTGGGGAGATTAATGTCTCTGTACTGACTGACGTGCATGGCATTCCCTTTTGAAGAAACAATGTAACACACAGTAAAGTTATATGTAATCCAATGTAATATGAAGAAGATATGATGATAAAAAATAAAAAAAAAAATTCCTATGAAAAAGTCAATTTTTTAAAGCATAAATATTTTTAAAAAATGTATAAATAAATAGCATTTTACTTAAATAAAAAAAAAAAATTCAAAGTCTTCACCAGGCCTGCACGGCCCCACCTGATGCCCCACCTGCATCTCCTGCTTACCTCTCCTTTCTGTTCAAGCCGCCCTGACTCTGCTGTTCCTTGAACACTCTCCCGTTCTCTTTAGGGCTCTTGGACTCCCCACTTTCTGGAAGCATTGTCCCAGTTTTTGTTCTGCCTGACTTCCTGGCTTTGTTGAGACCTCCGCTGACTACCTTTTCTAAATAGCTGCCAGGGTGGCCCTTCCTCCACCTAGCCAGTCTCTCTCTCTCTTCTTTTTTTAAGAGAGTTTTTTTGTTATAGAGTGTGTGCACTCACCAGAGAGACAAAAAGCAAGAAATCACCCCCCAGGGGGATGACCATGGTGCAATCCCTTCTCCGTTCTCCTCTTGGGAGTTTGGGCACGCATGCACTTGTGCCCAACGTGAGTTTCAAGCCACCAGGTCCAGGACGCAAACAGCAGTCGACTATGTGGGAGTCCAGTGACATAACCATTACGCCATCTGCTGGGCCCTGGCCAGTGTTTCTATTACCTTCTTCTAGTTTATTTTCCTCTCCACCTGACATTGTCTTCCACAGGCATTTGTTAAAGCATTTCTCTTTTGTCTCCCCTACCAGATTGTAAGCTTCCTGGGGCTGGACCTTTTCTTATTCACTGGCACATTTCCCAGTGCCTAAAAGGATGCTTGCTTGACACCTGGTAGAGCTGTCAAAGCATTAGCGTTGAATGAATGAATTGATTTGGATGGTGGTCAAGATGACAAGTCGACTTAAATGATAAGAAAACATTTATGGCTCAGAAAGTACCCCTTGGTAAAGACAAAGCCATAGGAGTTGTAGATGTATGAGAAGAATCTGAAGAAGTTTGGTTTATGAAGTTTAAGAGTGATAACAAGAGCAGAATATTCTTCAAAATCAGATTTACTTTGGCACAACAGGTAGTATACTGGACTGTGAATCAGGAAGCCACGTGATGACCATGGTTCAAGTTCCTGGTCTGCTGGGCCTGCAAAACGCTGGGTGAGCGTGTGCTTGCCTGCACTTCCTGTACATGCATGTGCTCTGTCATGGAGAAAAAAAGAAAAAATATTGCTCTAACTATGAGTGATTAGGTAGTAGATTAAATGCAAGTAGATATTTGAGTATTTTATGTTTTTGTTTTTTTGTTTTTGGAGAGGTTTTGCTATAGGGCAGGTGCACTTGCCGGAAAGGCAGAGAGAGACAGAGAGACAGAAAGCGAGAAATCATCTCCCAGGGGGGATGGCCACGCCGCAGTCCCTTCTCCTCCATTCTCCTCTCGGGATCTTGGGCACACACACACACACACACGCCCGGAGGGAGTTTAAACCACTGGGTCCGGGACTTGAACCACAGTCAACTACATGGGAGTCCAGCGACGTAGCCGTTATGCTATCTGCTGGCCCCTTATGTATGTTCTTAAAAGTTTGTGTATTTAGGTTGGCCAGCAAACTCTTGGGAGCGTCTCTTGAGAACCCTCCTGTTCAGTTTGCCTGACATGTTGATTTGCTATATTCTGGGGCCTGACAGTCATTTTGTCTGTCAGTCAGACATTCCCAAACTCCAGGGTCAAATGTAGCCCCAGACTTAGGATCAGGCATGCCGAGTGTCTGCTCCCTGCCTGGGTTTCTCTCTCATGGGAGCGATTTAGGGTTTGGTGATGGGAGGTTGTACCTCATGCTGACTGGGTGGCCCAGGCGAGGAGAGGGGCAGGACTGCAGGGTGCCGTGGCTTGGTCGGCCTGCCCAGCCTCTGCCACCCCCGCAGATGTTGGAGATCATCTTCGTGTCCATCTACATCACTGAGTTCATCATGAAGGTCTACGTGGACCCCATCGACTACTGGAAGGACGGCTACAACCTGATGGATGTGTTCATTCTTGTCATCATCTTCTTGCCCTATGTTGTCCGTAAAGCCAAGGGCATACACTACGCCCACCTCAATATCGTTGATGGCATCCAGTCCCTACGCACCCTCAAGTTCATCTCCTATATCCGAGGTATCCAGGTGAGTGGCCCCTGGTGCCATGGTGCTGGGAGGGCAGGCACTAGGACCCTAGAGGAAATATCTTCTAGGTATTGACTCCTGTATTACTACATTTAATCTTTTTTTTTTTTTTGGAGAGTTTTTTTTGCTATAGGGTGCATGTGCTCGCCAGATAGATAGAAAGCCAAAGAGACAGAAAGTGAGAAATCACCCCCCAGGGAGGATGGCCATGTTGCAATCCCTTCTCCTCTATTCTCTTTTCAGGATCTTGGGCATGTACGCATAGGTGCCTGGCGTGAGTTTAAGCCTCTGAGTCCAGGACTCGAACTGTGGTTGACTACATGAGAGTCCAGTGACATAGTCGTTATGCCAACTACTGGTCCCAACCTTATTTAATCTCTAAAAAAAATTTTTTAATAGTTTTTACCATAGGGAACCAGCAGTTAGCGTAATGGCTATGTCGCTGGACTCCCACATAGTCGACCGCGGTTCGCGTCCTGGACCCAGTGGCTTAGAACTCACGCTGGGTGCGTGTGCGTGCGTGCCCAAGATCCTGAGAGGAGAATGGAGGAGAAGGGATTGCGGTGTGACCATCCCCCCTGGGGGTGATTTCTCACTTTCTATCTCTATGTCTCTCTCTGTCTGTCTGGCGAGTGCACGCGCCCTATAGTGAAAACTTCTCAAAAAAAAAAAAAAGTTTTTACCATAGAGTGTATGTGCTCACTGAAAACAGAGAGAAAGAGAGACAGTGAGAGGGAAAGTGAGAAATCACCCCCCCAGGGGTTAAGGCCATGCCACAATCCCTTCTCCATTCTCCTCCTGGGATTTTGGGTGTGCATGTTCCTGTGCCCAGCGTGATTTTCAGGCCACTGGGTCTGGGACTCAAACCACAGTTGTCCAGCATTTTAATCACCATGCCACCTGCTAGCTCCTCTTATGTACTCTTAAAACAATTGTATAGAAATAGAATAGAAAGGAGAAGTCGATGGCTGAGAAATTGAGGCCCTAGGTCACTTAGCAATTAAATGCCAGAGCAGAGGTCTGAAAGGTGTGTCTGACTCTAGAAGCTATCTGAACTTCTCCTGTCTCCCATGCTGCAAAGTGACAGATTTCTATAGTTTTCTTTTTCTTTTTAAGAGAGATTTTTGCTATGGGGTGCATATACTCACTAGAGAGACAGAAAGTGAGAAATCACCCCCCAGCGGGGATGGCCACACTACAGTCTCTTCTGCTCCATTCTCCTCTCGGGATTTTGAGCATGCACGCACATGCGCCTTATGTGAGTTTTAAGCCACCGGGTCTGGGACTTGAACCACGGTCAACTAAATGGGAGTCCAGCGACGTAACTATTACACCATCTGCTGGTCCCATGATGACTTTCTTAAGGTACAGATCCTTTGAACTACATGCCCAGAAGTCTCCAGTTTTGGGGTGGCCTTTTCCCCAGCTGCTTTCCTCAAACAGCTAAAAGTTTGTTGCTTCTTTTACTGGGAATAGTCTCATTACTCTGTTCAGGCAGCTCTGGAAGTGGCTGCTTCCACCAAGAAGTCTTCCTGTGTTTTGGAAAGTCATGGTGTGACCAAGTTTTCCTTGACTCAGAAGGTTTCAGAGCAAACCTGAGGGCAGACCCCTTGCCCTCAACCATGCCCTCAGGCATTGGTCTTGGACATGGGATATGTCCCCTGGCTGTGCACCCAGGATCCCTGCTGCTCCGGGAGGGGCTAGTCTGAGCCTGTTTGACCAGTTAGGCTGCGTGAGGCTGTTCTGCAGAGAGACTGCCCTAGTGCAGGCCTGGGTGGCTGTCTGATTAGGGCCTGGGCCCTGGGCCCTGTGGTCAGGGAGCCCTCATCCTGGGTGGAGAAGAGAAGGGGACTGTGGAACACTGCCCCTGCCACACACCCAGATTCATTCATTCATGCTCCCATGTAGCACGATTGTGTGCGTGTGCGTGCGCGTGTGCGTTTGTGTGCCCGCCTCCCCAAATACAGTCTGGCTCTCCCTCTCCTTGTCGTGGTCAGGCTTCTGGGAAAAGATGCCAGTCTTTCAGTGCCCCTCCCTTGTCTATCATTTTTGCCCTGGCTTCTTTGTCTCAACTGCAGAGTAACTAGCCTCTCCAAGGTTGACAACCTCCTGTCACAAACCCAGTGGCCATTTTCCCGGTATCCTTGTCACTGCTTTCTCTTGGTTTTCCTCCTGTCAAGTTTCTCGGGCACGTGTCTCTTTGCAGGCCTGGAAGTGTCGTTTCCCCAGGACGGTGTCTGAGCTGTTCTCTTTTCCCTCTCCATGTCTTCTGGACGATCTGCCTGTGCTCTCTCTTTGACCCTCCCACCCCCCTGCCTCCTGGACATCGCACGACCTCCCCAAATTTGATGTGACTGCGCTGGAAGTCAGCACTCGTCCCCCACCCTACCCTCAAACCTCCAGAGGCTGGCTCCTCCAGTATTTCACCTGAGAAGCTGTCCCCACCCCCGTTTGTTTGCCAAGTCATAAATCTCAGTGTCAGCATTGTCTTCTGTCTCTTGGCGCTCTGCTTGGCCTCCTCAGTAGTTATTTACGCATCCAGGTCTTCTTATCCCTGCACCTCAGCCTCTACCTGGACTCCCGCAATGGCTTCCCACACTGCTGAGAGCCTCAGGTCATGGCCCAGCAGTTGGGGAGCCTCTAAAGACACTCATTGACACCGTTTCAAACCTGAGAGTGGCTCCCCTTGCATGTAGGCCAGAGACAGACCATGCCATGTGTTCTGGAAGGAGAGAAGGGGAGGTCTGAGGTGCTGGGTATTGGGGTCGGTGTTGGGGAGGGACAAGAGTAAAGCAGTGGACAGGGTAGAAGATATGAAGTTCCCATGGTGGGGGGAGTGACAGCGGTCAGGCAGCTCGGTGAGAGCGAGGGAGTGATCAGAGCGTAGGAACTGTAGCTCATTTTTCTAGATACAGGGCACCAAGGAAGTAGGGGCCTGGGATAGGTACAAGGGTGACTAGCGATGAGGAAGTCCAGGGGCAAAGACTAGCGATGAGGAAGTCCAGGGGCAAAGAGGCCTAGTGATTCAGGTCACCATAAGATGCTGAAGGCTCCCAGCATGCTGGCAGGGTGGGTGGAGAAGGAGGCAGAGATTTCAAGGCATGAGGGGAGTGGGAAACGGGAAGTGTCGTCCACTCAGAAGCAGGAGATGTCCACAGAGGCCGGGGCTCTGAGGATAAGGGAGAGGGTGGTCCTCTAAGTCTGAGGGCAGCCACCCCGGAGAGGCCTCTGGGAAATGATGTTCTTAGGTAAGAGAGCCTTTGGAAATTCAAAATCAAGCATCTCCTGGGAGCCAGGCTGTAAGCCTGGAAACCCAGGACTTCTTTAGGAATGGGCCGCTGGTCTAGGGGAGTCTAGGGGGATCTAGGAGCCATGCCTTGGGATGGGTTTCACCTTCCCGGACTGCATACTAACAGGGCATGGCTGGGTGGCGCTTGAAGAACGTGGCCAAGACCAGCTGCTGGGTGGTCCTGCATGGGACGTCCCCAGGTCGGTGACCTTTCCCCCACAGCTGCCCTCAAGGTTGCCTGGCCTTGACCTTAGGTGGCATCAGCCCCCACGGCTGGCTTGTTGGTGGGAGCCGAGCTGGACCTCTCCCACCCTTCCGCTCGTGCCTCAGGTTCTACTGCTGGGCGCTCTCCATGTCCTGCCCTGGCAGAGCTGCTCAGCAGGCCGTGTGCGAGTGCAGCTTTTTCTACTTCAGTCTCCTAGCCCTTGGGAAGGAAGCTTGTCTCTGTCCAACAGGGAGGCTGCGTCTCAGCTCTTTTGGATTTTATCTTAAAAATTAGGTTTTTTTCCCACAAGGAGAGGAGAGAGATGGCTGGCCTGGGCTTGCCTTTCTACAGCTGCCGGGCCGGCCCACGCGCATGGCAATCTCCTGTTCTTGGTCTGTCTCTGCTCTCCGAAGAGCCCAGACTGTCCGGATGCACTGTCCTGCGTCCCCGCTCTGAGGGCCTCCTTTCCTAGTGCTCAGCCAGAGAAGGTCTCTGTGCTCAGGGTTGCGGGTGGTGAAGGTGGTGGCAGAGTGCTTGGGAGCTGGCCCCAGCTCTTGTCCTAGAGTGTCACATGACCGAGACCTTGGTGCCTCTCTGAGCCCCTGGTCTCTTATCTTGAAATGGAAAGAGCGCTAATACCTCACCACCTTGGCATCACATCTGTGAGAGTGTTGAGGTAGGTGAACACGTACTGGACACCTACTCCACACAGGACTCCAGGGTTGGAGCGTGAATGAGGAGGAGCCATGCACTGGGCTCCCCAGAGATGGACAAAGCAGCGGGCAGATGAGACAAATGCCCGTTTCATGGGGGAGAAGACTGAGGTCACAGGACGAGGACCTGCCTGTGAAGGTGGGGCCCAGAGGAATGGGGAGCCGCATTCCTCTCAACCCTCCGCATTCTCCTGGTTGGTTCCCCTCCTCTCCTCCTCTTCCAGGATCATTCGGGGCTGGCCCCCAGTGGAGAAGCAGAATTATGACACCCTGAGGCCAGGACACAGGGCCAGGCTGGGGTTCAAATGGAGCGGTTAGTGGTGCTGGCGAGGAGGCTGCCCCAGACCTGAGTCAACACGCAATCTGCCTGGAGCCGACTGAGGGTCGATGCCAGACGCTGGGAAATGCTGTTGGATTGACCCAGCCCTCGATCTGGGCACAGTTCTGATCGACTTCATCCACTCATTCAACCAGCCAGCCCACGCGCCCACCCTTACTGAGCATCTACCCTGTTCCAAGCACAGCTGCAGATGCTGGGGAGAGCAGTGAACTGGCAGACTGGACCGGTCCTCTGAGCCCACCCAGCCTAGCACGCCCGCCTAACTGTGGTGTCCCTGCCTTGCAGACATTCATCACAGCTGTGGGGCAGACAGTCTACACCGTGGCCTCTGTGCTCATCCTGCTCTTCGTCCTGATGTACATCTTCGCCGTCTTGGGCTTCTGCCTATTTGGAGCTTCAGACAGGGGGGACCTGGAAAACTGGGGGAACCTGGCTGTGGCTTTCTTCACCCTTTTCAGCTTGGCCACGGTATGTGTTTGGGAATACTGGTGAGGGCAGGGGCCTTGAGCACTGGACATTCTGGGCCTCACCTGGGGCCCTCCTTGAGTTCAGGTACTTGCTGGGCCTGGGAACTGGAGGCTGGGCTTGGAGGACTAGTCAGTGACCAGTGCCTAGAACAGGGATCTCTCTCTGTCCCCAATCTTATGACTCCCTAGAGCATTCTCCCGTGTCCCACAAGGTTATAGAACATTTCAGAGTTCTTGAATGATAGTCCATTGGATTAAGTTTCATTTATAAATGAAGCCAATGTCATATACCCTTTTTGGTAACAGACACTCAAATCCACGTAGAATAAGCAAGCCTGTATCCAGAAGTCTAGACTCCATAGAGGAAGGTCTTTTCAATAGCGGGCCTGGAAGACAGGCAGCGTCTTTTGGGGTGGAGGGGAGACCTTGAGAAAAGAGACCCGAGGGCATGTTGGCCAGCAGTACCCCTACCCAGGAGTGGCCTGCATTCCCCGGCCACCACAGATAGATAGGCCAGTGGATTAAAGAAGTGTGGAAGAGATGATGTGAACGGGTGGGAAGCCCCCTTTGAAGTGGGCTCCCTCGCATAGGTGAGGAGGAGGCAGAGTCTGCTGGGCCTTGGCACTCAGTGTACCCTGCCCTGCCTGAGTAGGTCGATGGCTGGACAGACCTGCAGAAGCAGTTGGAAAATCGGAATTTTGCTCTGAGCTGGGCATTCACCATCATCTTCATCTTGCTCGCATCCTTCATCTTCCTCAACATGTTCGTGGGTGTGATGATCATGCACACCGAGGTGAGGCGGTGCCTGTAAGGGTCGGGATCAGATTAGGTGTGGCAGATGGAGCTGTGGGCCAGGTCTTCTGGGAGGACCCTGAGCTGGGTCTCCCTCCTGCAGTGGGAGAGAGAAGTCAGATGGGCCCTTCCCTAAGGCAGCCCAGCTCTTCTCCCGGAGACATGCATCTGCCTTGTCTTACAGTGGCCAGCAGCACAGTGGGGCTCGACCAGCCACTGCAGCTACAGTTGGCACCATGAGCGGGGGGG